AACTAAGTGTCATAACAATTGTATTTGTGCCAGATCACTTTGGTGAAAATGTAAATGTCTGAGAATTTCCTACCTGCGTAAATTAATTCTTAAAGAGGTTCTGGTCTCCAAGAGCAAAAGGCTAAAGCTGTCCTTCTCTTTTGCACATTTTATTTAAAGTATATTTTGGTAAAAGGTAGGACGTGCCTAGGAAGCTAAGGCCTAGAGACTTTGAGTGACTTCTCCAGAGACTATACTCTGGCCTCCATATCAGTCCAAAGCTCTTTGCAATAAAGAACAAAATTCACCTTACCAGATTATTCATTAATTCAAAAATATTTGTTGAGTGCCCACTATATTCCATAATATGTTCTGAGTGTGAGAGACAATGTTTCGGCCATCATGACAATTAGATTTTTGCAGGAGAGACCAGAAAATAAGTAAGTAAACAAGCAAATGTGAAACAGTTTAAAGCTCCTTGAAGAAAAATATAGAAAATACAGTGCATGGAGGGAGGGTACTTATTCTAAACAGGGTGGTCAAGAAAGTACTCTCTGAAGGAAGAGAAAGATGAACAAATAAGGGACCAGCAGTTAGCATAATGGCTATGTTGCTGGACTCCCATGTGGTCACCTGTGGTTTGAGTCCTGGACCCGGTGGCTTAAAACTCACGCCAGGCGCGTGTGCGTGCGTGCCCAAGATCCCGAGAGGAGAATGGAGGAGAACGGATTGCGGCATGGCCATCCCTTCTGGGGGGTGATTTCTCGCTTTCTGTCTCTCTGTCTCTTTCTGTCTGTCTGGCAAGCACACGTGCCCTATAACAAAAACCTCTCAAAAAAAAAGAAAAAAAAAAAGATGAACAAATAAGTGAATTGAATGAATTGGGGGCAGAAAGAACAGTAAGTGTGAAAACTTTAAATGGGGAGCATGCTTGGTGAACTTGAGAAAAGGCCAGAAGGCTAGTGAGCCTGGAACTTCAAGTATATCTTGCCATATACTGTCCCCTGCTCTTCCTTCCCTGACCAGGTTTCTTTTGTATCTTGTTTTTTTTTTACCTCTAGGTTAGGGAGCACGTTGTCTCCTTTGTCAGTCTCCCTAAAGTGGTCCCTTTAACCTGCCCACTCACTCCTCCACCTTCTTTTAATAAAAGAGCCTGAGTCCTAGTTGGCTTTCATTGCCCTTCCCCAGATTTTCCACATAGAAAACAATAACATAAGCAAACATAAAGATTTGACCTCAAGAGAAGAAGACACCTTCATGGCTCCTGAAACTAGTGATTTCAGGGGAAAAAAGGGAAATGAAGATTTTCTACTGATAATTCAGCCTCCAGCCCACAAACTTGAGTGGAGAGGTATTTCTAGACGAATCTAAGGGAACTATAGCCAAACATCCAAATACTATTAGGGTTAACATATTCCTCAATATCTACAATCTGCTGCCCAAAGGGACCAAAATGGAATGGCAAAGAGATTCCAGATCACCTCTTTCCACACACTCCTGAACGCTCAGATTGAACTTCAACGCTCAGATTTCAAGTTTAGGAAGAAACACACCATCCATCAGATGACTAGAAATCACCGCAGGGCCACAAGAAATATGGGAAAGCAAGAAAATACCTCTCCTCCAAGGGAAAAAAATAGCTCCTCTTCATCCACAGACAGTTCAATGG